AATTTGACCACACACACAACACAACTATTGATAAGGAATAAGCGTGGAATGTATTGTATATTTCTGAACGGTTGTATGAAGGACGCGGGATGCGGGCAGCGTCTCTAATTTGTCGTTGCTATTTGACCCGCATCGAACCCAGCCCGGGTCGAATGTCCTTGAATAGCTTTTAACTTTATTAAACCATTTTAATTATGAAAAATGCAGAAAACATCATAAATAGTTAAGTCTCACTAGTACTTTATAGGTGCTAGTACTTAATCAGGAGTCGTAAACTACTCGTAAAACTTGCAACAAAGTCACGAAATATTACAAAACATGACTACACTGTGGCTTATAGCTTGCAGACTCTAATGTCCATCACATTAGAGTCTTTACATGCAGTAGGTAATTAACAAGCTATTGAAAAACGAAATATCGTAAAACCAATCAAGCGGACTGATCCACTGCTCATAGTGCTCATGGCATGACCAAACGCTGACGTAGTACCACTTGGACATTTTAATCTCCCTTATCTAGATTACCTTGGGCACGTCAGAGTTGCATAAAACTATTAAAAATGGCGATGACGTGACAGATTACTATGTGCTGCGATTTTATGAAGGGCTTGCTGACGTCGACGACCGTGTGTTCTATGTACGGACATGTTTCACACATTGTTATGGAGTCTCCTGATTGGATGTCGAGATTCATCACGTTTGCTCATTCTGAGCCCGCTCCTCTGTTCCGGTATAACAGGTTTATATTGTTCTTAAGGCTAGGTACTATTGTTTATTAACATTCCTAACGGAGATAGGACTAGCGGCTACAGGCTATATCTTTAAATAGACTATAAACTTATGCAGTTTGATTTTATAGCAAACGATTCCCAATTCTGCACTGCGGTGTTTATTTTGTTGCCTTCATATATTTTATAATGAAAGATCATTTGGGGCGATGTAAGTACAACTGTACAATGATCGTAGACAAGACTGAAATGCCTGAGGCAAGTGTATACCACTTGAGAGTTCAAGAGAACTTCTGAAGAAGAGGGAAATATCTCCTTGCAAGCCATATTTTAGAATTGAAGAAGGTTGACAAAAAGATGCCAAGTCGTCTACCAACAGATCTTATTGAGGATTAGCTCTTTTACAATGCAGTGTCTCTAAGCATTCCTATATGTCCTCGTATGACTTAATAGCAGGCTTTGACTCTTCAATTGTCATATATTTGTTCACAATGCTAACGGATATCATTAGTACAGCAAGTAGGGCGAGCACTATTTGTGATAGGACAATTTTCAATATTGTTTTATATGAGTGGTGTGGAACAAAGGTTTATTGTGTCGTTGGATTGCCCCTGGGTCTAGGTTGCGGTCGGAAGATAATGGTACCTAGTCCATTTTACAGTTATACATGTTTTTAACTTTGTGGTGGATTTTCCCTCCTGAATGAACAGCAAATGATGAAGGAGGAAAGTTGTACAGTTCTACTATTTTGCAAATGTGTTGGTAAGCGCAAACACAGAGTGGTTCATTAGATGACGTGCATTACAATCTTGATAACGTTCTCAATCACAAAGAGTTGTCTAGTCTATTGGTTCAGCAACTAAATATTAAATTTAATGAAAACCTATAAACAAAATTGTAAACCATTCAATTCCATCCATAGGCATCCTTTAAAGCGAAGCAAATATAATCAACTTGTATGATTTGAATCGATTTCTCTTTTCATGTTATTTTTAATGGTACAGGTATACACTGTTAGTCTAGTGTGTGCGGTAATGTATTGATATCCACTGGACCTTCGAGGCCATGGTTAATCGGAACATTCTTGAACTCGTGAAACAACTATATTGTTATAATATTTATCAAAACTAAGTTTCCAGACAGAATTAATTATTATGATTCCGGAGAGATCAGTGGGTGCTGTAAAACTAACGATGGTTACATCAGACGTTTGGTATACAAAACTTTTTTGCATCATGCCAACTGTTATCTCTTCTGTGTCCAAAATGATTTTCAGAATAAATTGTATTAAATCATCCATAACCGTATCGATTAAGAAGCTAATTTACAGCACTATAAACAGTAAAATTACCCTCCACACCAGATAAGAAAACGCTCCAACCATTTCCACGATAAATTTTCGTGAGAAATTATTCAATAGACGCCTTTAGATTGAATAAAAACAGTGCGAACTGAGTGCTTATCTTTCCGCACAATTTGTAGTCATAATGGAGGGAAATGAAAAAACTTGACGCCGGTAAACGGTGGCCCAACAACCCATCATTATTTCTGCACTATTGCAATTTTAAGGCCTTCGGACTGGACATGAATATGTGATGTTGCTACATTCTCCCATGGGCGTTGGCCGCTTTTGAGATCTTTTAAGTGAAGCTATCTTTAGAGGGTAATTTTTGGGTTCAATGTGCGGTTGACGCAATGGCTTGATGACAGGTTTAAAATTGTATGTATTTGTATGACTTGCAGATTATGTGGAAGTATGTAAACTTTTGCAAGAACGACGAAAATTAATAGTAAGTATGCATGTAATAGAGTGGAAGTTTTCTTTCGGATCTGCAAAACGTAAAAATTGACCTAATCTGAACGTCTTGTAAAACAGAGCATTAAAAGAAATTCTCGAATGTTCCATGAGAAAGGGGGTGCGGGAATTCCTGTGAAAGTGTAAACTAAGCCTCGGGCAAAGCGCCTTTAATTTAAGAGTGGGGGGTTATAAGTATGAAGAGATAAAATTGAGGGTCGTTCCTACAAAGAAATGTATATAATCACACAAGTGCCCTTACTTTGACCGACTTCTTTTAAAGTCTTCTTTTGATTTTTGAGGTGGGTTACTATATATATTCAACGTGTTTCCTCATGGTGCATTTTACCTTGGGACGATACAATTCGAAACAACGACCACAAGCAATTGGACTTCAATTTGCGGTTTTTCATTTTGAACTTTATGTTCAGTATTGGTAGCAAAAACCGATAACTTTACTTCTTCAATTGCAGAATATATAAGAATATTAATCAACTTGCCACCTAGATAACTGATGACATGACCAGTGAAAATTGATCGTACTTCTTCTATCTAAGTAAATATCAAATCAGGGTGCTTACTCTTGAAACCAATCTCAATGTCAATGCAATACAATCTCAATAATTATTTAATGTCAATACTACACAACCCCTATCATAACTGTTAAAATAGCACTCAGAGTACGGAATATAAAGCCAAACTCAATACCATTTAGTTCATTAAATATCCACGCAATACGAATGCAATGGACGCTATAGTTGCAACTCAAGAGTACGAAGTTTCACAATACCAATGTCGATCGATCGGAATTGGATTCAAGAGTAAGCCCTTTGGTTTGTAGAGTAAAATTCTGTTCAAAGTATATTAAATCCTTGGTTTTCCAAGCTAACACAATGTTTTCATCACTAACCGTTGTCTAGTTCTACGATAATGATCGCGATATCTTTGTCATCGCGCCCAGCGCTTGCGCAACCGTGATTACGGGTTATCGAATATAGGCCGATGTGTTTGTAACCTTATTTTGTTATTGTTTACTCTTGTTTAAAGTTTACCGAAGTATCTTTTTTAAACTGCTTACAAGTTTGTTTGTTTGTTTGGCTTTATATGTTTACGTTGTAATTAAAATTCTGTCTGAATTTTATGTTCTTCTAATATTTCTTCAGAGAAATGTAGGGAGTCGATTTTACATTAGAGCTTACTTCAGGTGTGTCATCAGCTGATCGATACGTGTTTGCGATATAAGTACAGTTATGTATTCAAATATTGCTGAATTACTAGCTACCAAAGTGGTTGAGCAGATGTCCAGGTCTCTCTAGCGAATAATATTGATTAACTAAACTTCCTGATTTTGAGACTTCAAAATGATCCAGCAAATCTAGTTAAATGTTTAGCCTTAAAACCGCCACACGCAGTACAACAAAAATGAGTTAACAACTCATACAACTTCATCGGGGACCCATCTAACCACTACATAAACAATCGATTAAACTGAAACCAACCGTCGATGCACAACTTCACAACTGTCGAGCCTCCCTGCAGCCATTAACTGCACCGAGCGCTAAACTTAATCGCTATCTATAAATAGACACGTCTGACTCGGCAGACGTCTCACTACACGACAAACGGATACTAAAGTCCTATCTACAACTTCTCCACAAACGAGAATCAACCTTATCTACCAACTCTAGAACTCACTCTGCACTGCCTGCACTCGCTTGTAAAATATAAAATACAGTTTTCATAGGCGAGATGTTGCTAAGCGATTTTGCATCGTAAATAAACGTGACAAGGTTCGCTTCGATTTGTTTTGGCAGTTAGCGCTCGGGTACGTAGGCTGCAAGTTAGGTCGGAAAATGAAGCGCCGTTTATAGTACTCATTATAGTACTATCGTAGTATTGTGCGAGTGTGTGAGTGTGCTGGCGGCACGGGGCGCGTGTGTGTGCTGCAATGGAGTGCAGCGGCTGCATGTGTGCGTGCCGTGTGCTTGTACTCTGTGAATGGAGATTGTATTTATGTTTCCCTGTCTGAGGTCGGACTGCGGGTTTATTGATTTTTTTTTTCATTACGCTCCGTTTTAGCTCCGCGTCAGATGCAAGGGAATGGGGAAATAGTAGTGGAATAGTAGTTGCTTGTCAGTTAGACGTACTTACCTATACTTTTTTAAATACGTTTTAGTGGGCCGCATTACTGCAGGGAAAATGGGGGTTGTAGGATGAACCGAGGTAGTGTGCGCCCGTCTGTATGTGTGTACGTGTGGTATTTAGAGTAGATGGAAGTTTTGCGCAGTTGTCTAATGAGTCCTAGTTTATAAACAGATGCAGGTCGTAACTGTTTTAGTGTTTTGGTGAATTTTCAATGTATATTCTCTAAAATTCTCTTGTTTTGGGATCCATTTAATGGAGATGCACACACTAAAGAGTACTTCTCTTAACATGCATCATATTCATGACTAATTTCCATATTTTTCCAATTTGCAGGTACTCCGCCACCAAACACCACTTGCAGCGACGGTAAATATATTCATACATTTATTGATTACACGTACAACTGTAAATGAATTATTATTAATAATTCAGTAATAATACCGACACGACTAATAATCGTGATAACCTCCAGTGATGTAACCTATGTTTACAATTGTTGCACCAATAATATAAAATTATTCATATTTTCATTATCAGGATATAAAACCTCACGGTCGCACGGTTCTGTACAACGGTATAAAGAAATAAAAAAATAAATGTTCTTTTTTCCTTATCATAAACAAAACAACTATTCAGAAAATCAGTACTATTATACCTATTAGTGTGGCGGAGAACCTAACGGGTTACCGGGGCTGCGGCTTGACGTGCAGGAGTAGGAACGGGGTGGTTTTTAGTCAGTAAGAGTCTGACACTCCCTCCCGCCTCACCTATTTAACACACAAAATTATACCTATTAGTACTAGTTATAAATTCGTTATTGAATTGTATCAATATTGAGTAAATAGACTCCGGAATTTCACGTCACATAAAAATAAACTGGAGTACCTAGTTCGGAATTTCCTAACTGACTATGCTCGTGTCTGGAATGAAACATCGAAACATATTTTAAAGTTTTTAAGTAGACCCCACTAGACAAATGGTATAAGTAGTCGAAATCTCGAATATTTTTTTATAAAAGATACAATTGAAGAAAGGAATTTTTTACCTACCAATTTTTTTTATTATGTTAGATTGGCCGACGTTTGACCACTATCTCGCCTGGTGGTAAGCGATGATGCGGTCTACGATGGAGCACGTCGTCCCATAAGCAACCTATTCACTCGGGCCTTGAAGACACTCAGGTATACCCTTCAAGAAATACAGACTCAGAAATTGTAAGAAACGTACAGTTCTGTGTTTCTCTGACCTGAGTGTCTTCAAAGCCCGAATGAATAGGTTGCTGTAGTCGTGCTCCATCATAGGCCGCATCATCGCCTACCACCAGGCGTGATACTTCTTTTTCTTATAGCATAAGCCGGTAAACGAGTAGACGAATCACCTGATGGTATGCAATCGGCGTCGCCCATGGACACCTGGAACACCATAGCGTTACAAGTGCGTTACTGGCCTTTTGGGAATATAGTCTTGTTATGACAGTTTTCTTTCCTCAAAATCCAAGGTTCTTAGCGAAGTTTGCATGTTTTAATGCGGAACTCTAATTGTATTATTGTTTCTATTTCAAGTTGTTATCAGTGGCCTTAGTAACGCCACGTCCAAGATTGATTGCATTAAACACGTGGTACCACGATAATATTTCATTTTCTTTTATATTTGTACAATGATATATACTGAGATATACTCTACTAGTTTCGAACTACAGAGACGGTCTTTCTCATGAACTGCGTGCGAGGTCGGATGGCGATGTCGCGCAGCTCACGATAGTTATTATAAAAACCGATTATGTAATGCAATATGAAGGCTCGTTTTCATCAACCGCTATTAAATTTTAAAGAACTGTTTATAAAACTTGACGAAATGTCGGATTTCACCTATCCGTAAGTGACCCCTAAAATTTCAGTATTCGGGCACAATTGTTATTTTATTAGGTTTATCAGCATATTGTTAGCGATTTTACACCAGGAATCAACCGCGATCAACCATTCCTATGTTTTTTTTTTCTATGAAATAAATGTATAAAATATTATTATTACTGATTATACTTGCAATTGATTATATTTAGTAGGTACATGCCTAGTCAGATTTGCAACGGCATTTATTACAGGCAACAAGCATGTCGATGTATTGTATATTAATATAAACACATTATTGTTATTATTATATTTCAATATCATTTCAGTGTTCCGATGTCACGGTATGAGTTACTTCTTTTATAAAATTTTCCGTCATACATTTTTAAAATAGCGCAATAAGACTCGATTACTATACCCATCAGTCGATAATACTGCGGACTATTTCAACTTAGCAATTAAAGGCTTACGCACTAATATGATCCACCTAATTAATAATATACTACCTAATCCATCGAAAAACCTATACATTGACACGTATCCGAAAATAAATCTTTTTTAATCTTATCGACCAATGAGCTGTCCGGCGCACGCGATTATCGATAATTTCCCCCGGCCTTCAGCTCAGTCGATGTGGTCCCGGTTTATCGATAGATAACGCATCGATAAAAGGGGCCGCAGTAGCCTCAGTTAAACAATTACTCGTGTACTACAACTATTTCACTAGTCAATGTTTACTATTGTTAAATATCATCAACTGTTCAGCAGATTAACAGATTCAGTTTACGAATGAATCATTCGGACTAGAATCGGTACTTTAAATCGGATAATCGTATTGATCGATTTTTTTTATTCGATTCAAAGTTTCATTAAAATTCGATTTCATGGTGTTGAGACTGAAAGGGCTAGTAAGTGGCAAGAAAATACTGGTGTACAAGTAAGAACAAGTTCTTGTAGATAAATGAGGAAAATAGAATCGTTTCGTAATGATGGAGCATTTTTATAAATATATACGAGTTTGAATTACTCAACGATTGCACAATGTTATGTTCAGGTTGTATTTTGTCAGTTTGTACAGTCATCTTTTCGTAATTTTGGCTGTTTGATATCATAGTAAGTAGTAGGTAGGTACACACACTGCGGTGGAATCGTTTTTGTACCGTTTGTCCTAGGTAGTATAGAAAATATGGGATAATTTTAAAAATAGAACACCAAATTTTTTTTCTTGGAAATCGATACATTGATAAGACGGTTGGTGGCTGTAAGTGTCAAAAAGTTTTTGGTATAACGCCGATTGCTTACCATCAGGTGATCCGTCTGCTCGTTTACATATCCCATATCCCATAAAAAAGAAAAATTGCGCGTAACTGACCTAAATATGAATATTTTCAAAATGGCGCGTTACAATCAGTAAGTATATCTAAGTATGTACCGATAAATAAGCACGTGTGTATTACATAAGATAATATACACACAAAGCACGTGAAACTGCAGATCTTTACTGTAACTGATAAAATGATAAGAAATACTTAAATACACTTTTTACTTGAATTACGAATTACGATATCTGCAACGCCGTGGTGGCGTATGCGCTTGATAATTTACAAGGACAAGAAATGATAAATATTACAAAAAATGTTTAGTTAATGGCGTTATGTTTAGTTATAAAATGTAATAGTAATTAGACTAATTAACTAAAAAGTGAGTAACATAACTATTTGTTTGGAACGAGTGTGGAACGTAATATAGAATCACGTTTGGACGACACTACTGGATGCAAAAAGCATGGCTCATAGAAATTTCTATTCTCAGAAAGCACGTTTCGCCGAAAACTTCATTGGTAGAAAATATTGTTCGTAGATATCTCGATCCATAGAAAGCACTAGCCATAGAAATCTCTATTCCTAGACAGCTCTTTTTGCCGAAAACTTTGTTGGTAGAAAACACTATTCGTAGAGATCTCGTTCCATAGAAAGCACTGTTGATAAATAATTCTGTTCATAGATAGCATTTTTGACATAAACATCGTCTATAGAAACAGCTTTTTCCGGAAACCTTTATTCACAGAAACCAGAGATATTCATAGTTATATCTATAGAAATAAAAACAACAACCGAAAGTACCCCTTACATTTAATTTCGACATACCGAAATATCTATCTCATTTGAGATGAGCAATTTTTAATCGAACAGTATATATCTCAAAACGAGAGTGTAGTCGTATTTTCTACAAAAAATAATTTCAAACGACTAATTACCTAATGCAAAATGTTTGGTCATGGATGGCACGTTCTCTACATGTCCAGCGCCATTTTCTCAAGTATGTACAATACATTCTTCTATTGGATCCGAAACTGGCACAAACAAATTTCCACCTTTAGTGGTTGCATTATTATCGAATAAGACAGAAAAAAATTATACAATTTTATTAGATTTATTGAAAAGATATCCCGTTAACATATTTCAAATTAATATGTCTTCTCAATATATTTTAACAGATTTTGAATTATCAATTATCAATATCGTCAAGAAACAGTTTCCAGAATGTGTATACAGACTATGTTTATTCCACATTACCCAGAGCATTTAGCGTCATGTACAAGCCGAGGGTTTAGCCAATTCTAATTGTATAACATGTGTCTGTCTTATTCGATAATAATGCAGACACTAAAAGTAGAAATTTGTTTACTAACTGTTTTCATTTATTAAATTTCCAATAAAAA